AGAATCGCCGGCACCAGAGGTAATTCCATCGTATGGAATCCATACACAAGTGTTGCAATATTACATTGTATCCACTAGCGCTCACTTCGCGATTCGTATTCTCATTTTGCAAATGATTTGATGCTGCAACATCTATAGTTCGAATGAAACGGGTGCATGCAAGCCAAGTGCATAAATATTTTGCGCTCATGTGCCGCGCCATGACGAAATGCAGCATAAGGAAAATGAATATCCTCAAGCGATGATCCTTGCGATTGTGTTTCTGAATTGAAGGCCAAGGGATTTTGTATCTCATTGACAGGAATCTTCAAATCCATCTCTCAACGGCACAAATCCAAGCCTGCCGGACAGCGTTGTGTGAATTTGCACATGATGTGTTCGAACACATCGTGAGTTTATTCCAGCCGAGGATCAGACTTTCCCCCTGGCCGCCCTTTCTCCGAGCAGAAGCAACATGGAGAATTCGGAAGAAGCTTCAAATCATGCAGGACTAGTCATGGTCAATATTGCGGCGACGGCTGTGGTAAATGCAACCAATATCACCCTTGTGATTGTACCCTAGTATGCAATAAGGGGCATGGAGCAAGGAGGTGAGGGCACCTTCAACTGAGAAAATAGACGTGTTTTGCTCGCATATACACATTTATGGGGTAACTATTGTATATTTTTGGTTGCGTTTGTTGTAGTGCGCAGAAATGTGGCGCCTCTCGGCCTGTCCCATCAGCAACCATCTAGATGGTTTTGCAACACAATTTTTTGGTTCATACTTATTTCTTGGGTATGTCACAGGAATATCTTGATATAATTCAAAGTGCCGAGCTGCAATTGAATGAATGACATTGATAAATAACATATTAAATTTTTGCCCATTGCACATTCTGAAGCCAATCTTGTAATCTATGATTGCCATTTCTTTTGGTATTGTACTGTATCAACGCCCCATTGATGCCAATTTCATCGCCGCTGCCCATGGACATAATGTTGGCCAACATCGGACTCTTTGCATGCATAAGCTTATCGAAGGGAAATGCTGGAGGAATTCCTGAGGACGTTGAGACTGGCAGGACCCAAGGCGCGTCCGCTGGTAGTAGGACATGACGGCCTGAGCTCAACATGAGAAGCGGAAACTGATTCGAAGCAACTAACCAGCAAGGAAAGCTGTTCATGAGTTTTTTGAAATATGTGCAACATGGCGTCATTTCGCCCCGCAGATTCATGGCTGATGAGCAAAGGGGCGAGCGCACATTCCAATCAAACTCGAGGCGCAATGAATCACTGAAGAATGCAGTCAGTCGGTCGACTAAATCATGGGCGCCAGCGTCAGAGCACAGTGTAATTTGTGTTCCGAATATCAGTCCTGCGCAAGGAAACTCACATGAGACTCAGAGCATTTCAGTAACGGCTGAGCTCCCGCTTTCTTCAGCAGTATCTTAGCTCATTTCAAGCGCGATCAATTGGAAATATCGATATTCCAATTGACCGTGCTAGATATCTAGCAAAACCAGAGACACGGCCAAGAAAAACACAGCTGTTGCGGCAAATTATAGGCAATATTTAGATGCACTGGTCGAGCTGGCGATTCGAAAATGCCAACTATGCTGCACCTGCAACACAGATTGCTTCCGACTCCAGTGGGCTTAAAATGTTCATATGAAATCTCACCTGCCCATCACCTAACAACTGGGCTCCTTCCTGAATGCCTTCGACGCTCTTTCCGTTCTGTGAGCCTACAACTCGGAGTTGTTGCATTGGGAGTCCCAATGCCAATGGCCAATTGAAGAGCACATCCAACCATTTGCCAGTGCGGTGTATGAGTTCATGCTGCGGCTGGCCCGTGCACTGTCGTTTGTGTGCTTCAAAATTTAGCCATCATTCCATGGATCCCCGTGGGGCCAAGTTGCAAATTATGCGGTGTCAGTTCTTTTGAAATTTCAAAAGAACTCCCTTTAAAGGGTGCCATAGCAATGTCTAGCAGAGGAAAATGCGTGGATTGCAACAGCTTGCTAGGAAAACAAAAATGTTGGAATTTGCATGGCATTACACAATAATTGGAAAACCCAAAGGATATTGTTATGTGATAGTGGATGCGAGGCTTGGGATGAAGTTACTTGTCATTCAGATTAAACACGGTTATAGAAATGGAGACATCAAATGGGAAGAAATGACATCAAAATGTCTTGGATGACAATTACACTGACGATAGTTAACGTATGTAGATGTCATTCGTACGTCATGTTGTGACCAATTTACTCAAAATTCCTACCGAGTGAATAATAAACACGATCTATCAGCCCTTGATGGGGCTAATTGGGTAAATATGAAAGGAGGTCATTGCATCTGAGATTTTGCCTTTGCATAATGTACCATAGGCATGCCGCACCTATCATGGGCACCTGCCTTGGAAACATCTTGTAACAGGTGCAAAAACCGCCCTTTGAATAATACAGCACATGCCGTACCACCTCCCCAATTGATGCAAAGTTATTCCATTCGCACCCAAGCTTGTTATTTGCACCGTAAAACCTGATGCATTTACGTTTATATGCATGAAAATAGGCTTTACGTCTTACGTCTTCACGTGTAAACAGGCGCAAAACATAAATACAACGTAAATACCCACTCCTGTAAATAAAAACAGTACACACAGATTTACAGAGTAAGGGAGTGGCAGCCAGACGCACTGGAGTGCGAACAAAACGAACTTGTGCTCTCAACGGCGTCGTTGCCCTTGCCGAGAGCGAGGTGGACGTTATGTTCTCTATGCTCGAGCGGGTGGAGGACTGATAATTGTACACGACTTTTGTCGTGTGACCTGTTGTCTGTCAGAACGTAGACACAGCCGCAAAAATAGCCCCTTTTGCAAATTTATGTTTTCTCGTGAAAAAGCGTGAACGTAAATAACAGGCCTGATCGTACCACTGCACACATTCCCAAAATTCTGTAGCCGTACCACTGCTACACACACTGGGCCCAGACACAGGTATGTTGTTGTTGGCACAAATGAGTCGTGCCAGGTACGATCGTCCAATTCCATATCACACATTCCTCTGCTCGTCGGAGCGAGCACTCCCTCCCTGCTATTCTGCATTGGTGGTTGGGCACAGCTATGTGCAGGAGTCGTCGTGGTAGATTGTTTGGCTTGAAAGCACGTGGCAATACGGTTACTTGCAAAGCAGTTCTGCCCACTGCATGTGGGATGGGATGTACACAGTCCCGGGACGGTTGACAACCTGTGCGCCTGCTGGATTCCACAACCGCACAGCCAGCCACCAATTATCTGCCAGCGCCAGAAATCGCAACCTGTAGTCCATCATAAACACCGTATTTATCCGGTATTAGTAGGCGTGCATTGGGCCCCCAAAATGAGGGGTGGATAGTAATAGTGGGTCATGGATACTAACGCAGTTTAGACCCCTGATCCAAGAGTAGACATAGAATTTTTTTGGAACATAGATCGTGAAATGGCCCCAAAATAGGCTTGAAATAACGTAAGATGCAGTGCATAGGTAGCAACATCGCCAATTCCAAGTTGCAATTCAGACACCACATGACAACACCATGTTATTAGCGACAATGCTATTACTGAAAGATGTCAGCCTCTTCACGGGAGCCAGAGTCTGAACTTGGGGCTCCACCAGGTGGGAGTGACTGGCGATTGGGGCTAGTAGGTGTACCTTGGACTGCTCGAGGCGTGTTTGCCTCCGTGATGCGAAGAACGAGGGCAGACATGGCCCACAAAAGGCTGCAAAGGCAGGGCTCGTCCCCAATTGCACAGCTGCCAGGCCGCAAACCCATGGGTTGTGTGATTGGCCAATCACAGATACCATCAGCTATCCAAGCCGGCATCAGCCCGACAAAGCGCCGGGGGCCAAATCCATCGTCGCGGCGCGCCGCCCCCGGTCTGTCTAAGCCAGTTTGTGAGGTGCTGTTTCGCAACGGCGGCCGCCCAGACCAGCGCCGTCGCTTGCACGTTCTTGGCGCTGGGACTTGGGGCGCCCTTAGTTGGCGTCACCAGAACCCGCTCTGGCCGGCCGGGAATCAGGTTGACTCAATGTAGAAACCAGGGCGGCTTTGGTTTCTCGATCGCTTGTTTGATCGGGCCTACTGGCCTCGGTCGTCGCCCAGCGATCCTGTGCTAATAGCCCCAACTGCAGCCAGTCAACCCCATGGCCTTTTGCAGGCCTCCTGTCGAATTCTCCCTCATCGGCATCCACGCCAACCTGATCGTCATCGTCGACGCGCGAATTACTGGGAACGTGGTTTGGCCCAGACTGGGCAACGCGGCGCAACACCAGCCACCGACAACCCTTGCCACTGTCCGCGCGTTCCCTCGTTTCTGTTTCGCTGAGGTTTGGGGGTAGGTACTGGCACCGGGTCATGGATGCTAACTTGGTTTCAACCCCCAAAGAAAGGGGTGGATACCAATATCGGTATTAATACCGGGTAAATACGGTATCTATCGTTCTGGGAATGTGGCCAGTTAGAATCACATTCATTGACTGCACAGGACAGCTGCGCCAGCTCTAACCTTACCTCCCCATTCATCCAACTACTATAAGTATTCCGCTCATCACACCCCCAAAGTCTGCTCAACGCGACTCAGAACCAGAGTGCGTTTCCTTTGTTGTATTTGCAGCGGCGGCTTATCCAGGCCATCGTACGTAGGATCCTGCGTGTACGCAATGCCCAGCATCGTCCACTGTTGTGCGCCACTCGTGGGAAGAGCGGACTGTGGTAGTCCTTTATCGAAAACGCGGCGCCATTGCCAGGCGCCACAAACACACCGTCAAGATGGCACGTGATAATGAGATTTGTTTTGTTTAGTGGTTGGTCAAGTGCGTGATATGTCGATGTGTCGTTGGATACTTGGTGCTGGATTGTGAAAGACTGTCTCGACAGCCCCCCTCGACGCCCGCACCACGCACCGTCGCTTGCGCAGCACCCGGGCTCCACACCACGCCCCCCGCCTTCACCGCGCGCACGACCCGACGAAGCGAGCGATGCAGCGAGCAGCGGAGCTGGCGGGCTGCTCGCCGTGGCTGCCAGCGGCGCTGGCCCCGTCCGGCCGCGTCCACGTGGCGCGCCGGTGCCTGCACGCACCGCCGTCCCGGGGTCCTGCGCGAATCGTTGCGACGGCGACCACCACGGGGACTGGGAGCGAGGTGTCAGAGGAGAAGCGCGACATCCAGAAGATGTTGAGCAAGCCGTACAAGTGGGGCTTCAAGACGGCCATTGAGTCGGAGACGTTTCCCAAGGGCCTGTCTGAGGACGTTGTGAGGGCGATCTCCGCGAAGAAGAAGGAGCCGGAATGGATGCTGGAGTTCCGCCTACGGGGGTACAAGAGCTGGCTGACAATGAAGGAGCCCGCCTGGTCGGACAACGCCTACCCGGCGTTCGACTATCAGGGGATCAGCTACTATTCGGAGCCCAAGCAGAAAGAGAAGAAGCAGAGCTTGGATGAGGTGGACCCCGAGCTGCTGGCGACGTTCGACAAGCTGGGGATCCCGCTGAACGAGCAGAAACGACTGGCGAACGTCGCTGTGGACGCCGTGTTCGACTCGGTGTCCATCGCGACCACGTTCCGCGAGGAGTTGTCGAAACACGGCGTGGTTTTCTGCAGCATCTCGGAGGCGGTGCAGGACTACCCGGAGTTGGTCAGGAAGCACCTTGGGAGCGTGGTGAGCAATGGAACCCTGGGGCCCACCTGGGACAGGGGGCGGGGCTGTCAGTAACTCCATCCCAGCATTCCTTTTATATTTGACCTACTTCCGTCGTGTTCTATGTTTCGGAACGAGTCTGGCAGGGATATGCATCAAAACCCCCAAAGTTCAGAAAGCTGCAACCGTTATGTGTCTTGCATCGAATGGTGCAAAAGACCCATTGGTCACGGCCTGCAGCATGCAAGGTCCCTTCTATGTCTCATCGACGCAAATTGTGTATTGTGTATTGCATTGTACGATTACCCCTGCTACCACAGAGCCAGTGTCAACCACCCAGTGTGCAAAATACCCATTGGTCACGGCCTGCAGCATGCAAGGTCCCTTCTATGTATCATCGAGGCAAATTGTGTAATGTGTATTGCATTGTACGATTATCCCTGCCACCACAGAGCCAGCGTCAACCATCCAGTCGAGACAAATGTTACCCAGGATGCAATGATGCCATGAGTGGTCAAACTTTGGCAGGTCTAAAAGCATGTGATTTTCAGCCGCCGTGCAAGAAGGATTATCCAGTCCATTCAGAGCTGCTGTAGATGGCTGCCAGATCGACAGTGGGGCATGTCATCAAGTAAAGGGTGAACCACTGTTTGTGGATACGGTTGAACAAGGTCAGGTTTGCCCTGCGGTCTCGAGTGAAGTGCGATGTGAAGGGTCCCTTTAGGCACCCATGCAATTGGCTTGAGGTGCTGTGGTTAACCCTTCATTGCTTTAAACGTGAGTGGGAGTGCTTGCTGACAAATGCAAAAGAAGTGATTGTGTTTTGTGCTGTTATGCAGGTTCCTGTCGCAGACAACTACTTTGCTGCTCTGAATTCAGCTGTGTTCTCCGATGGATCGTTTGTGTACATTCCAAAAGGTGTCCATTGCCCTATGGAGCTCTCAACATACTTTAGGATCAATGCAAGCGAAACAGGACAGGTATGGCAGGCAAGGCTGCAGTGAACGTCTGCTACTGCCACGTATGCATTTTCAGGGACGTTGTGGGCGGCTCAACTGGCTACATGCCTGCCTCAAGAAACTGGCCTATGGAGAATTACTTGCATTTCAAGGACAAAAGTGCTGCTCCTGCTCATTTGCCAGAAGTATTGGCTTTAAATGGACTCTTACATCCCAAGGCCTTTTTGCCCCTTAATGACCTTCTTGGACAGTATTCCTATTCTGTTCACTGAGTACACGCCGCCAACGCTCGTGGTGCTGCAACTTGGGAAACTACTGTCGCACTTTATAAGGTACTTGACATGTTTCTGTGTTTTCTACAAGTTTGAACGCACATTGATCATCGCCGAGGAAGGGAGCTATGTGAGCTATCTGGAGGGGTGCACAGCCCCAGCTTATGACCAGAATCAGGTGTGGGAAATGGTGTGGGAAAATGGTGGCATGATTGTGGAGCTCAGGGTTTTGCTGCACACTGGCTATCGACGCGAATGGGGAAGCTGATGGCACAGCAATTGTGGGGTCTGGCAACACTGCATGCAAGAGGGTTTGATGCCACTCAGATGCAGGCTTCGCTGGTTGTCCACTGCAAGATTGTGCAATTTGAACCATCGTTTTTGCATCCCTTGTTGATCTTTCCAGTTTGTTTGATTGAGTGTACATTTGACTAAATTGTGATGTGCTGAAACGCATAAGTTCATAGTTGTTGGCAAGTGGGCTACTCAGTGCTAATCAGCTGCTTTGCTTGCTGTGTTGTTCTACAGCTCCATGCGGCTGTCGTTGAGCTCACTACTGCCAAAGATGCTGAGATTAAATACTCCACAGTACAGAACTGGTATGCAGGAGATGAGACTGGGAAGGGTGGCATCTACAATTTTGTGACAAAGAGGGGGCTTTGCCATGGTGACGATTCCAAGATTTCTTGGACACAGGTCAGCATGAAGCTGTCTGTTGCTGTGCTGCAGTAGATGATCTGCCTTCCCAAAGGTGCAGTTCTTTAGGAACCAAATCTGCTGCTGGCCAAACACAAGTGCTAAATCGTCGAGTAACAGAGCAGTGGCACACTGTCCGTGAACTCAGCTATTGGGTGGGGTCGGGGATCGTCCAACCAGCCCTGCAGCTGCAAAATCAGCACTCGCATCTTAAAATATGCCTGCCTCTGTAGAGACTGTGACCAAGTGGACGCAAGGGAGACATCCAATTTGTGCATGCATGCAGGTGGAAACTGGATCCGCCATCACCTGGAAGTATCCGAGCTGCGTGTTGAAGGGTGACAACTCTGTTGGGGAATTTTACTCTGTTGCTCTTACAAATAATGCTCAGCAAGCGGACACTGGGACAAAGATGGTGCACGTTGGGAAGAACACCCGCAGCAGGATCGTGTCGAAGGGCATCTCTGCTGGGCAGTCGTTGAATGCATACAGGGGGTTGGTTCAGGTCCAACCCAGTGCAAAGAATGCTCGGAACTATTCGCAGTGCGACTCGATGTTGATTGGGGACACTGCTGGTGCCAATACATATCCATACATCCAGGTGATGGTGTGAAAGAGCTAGAGAATTCACTGATGTCCCTGTGCTAGGGAAACTCCACTTTACTGGCCACTTGTAAATGGTATGGATTGATGTTTTGTAGATTATCATGTCGAAGTGGTAGTTGACCATGTCCATTCTTTTCGATTCAATTTGTAATCCTCTGCAGAATTACCTGTTGACTGACGTTAATCTTTTCTGTTGTCAACACTGTTAATATCCCCATTTTGTTGTTTGCAGTCCAACGCACTTCTTTGCCTTTAGTTGTCCTGCATTGCTGAAAGGGCGATGCTGCCTAGCAGGTCACTGGGTGAATATGCAAGCCCATGCTCGCAGCAGTTTGTCAGCAACATCTGCTGGCTGTTGTGTTGCACCAGCAAAGTCACCATGTCCTTGTAGAAAGGCTTCCTTTAGTGCGACTCCAGAACCTGGTTTGAACAGTGGCACTTGTGGTCAGTATGGGAGCCTTTGATGGGGTCTGCCACTTGCTCAGCTGGCAGTTGCGTTGCAGCACTGCTTCTCCAATGTGCTGACCTCTCCATGACTTGACTTTGTTGTGTCAGGTCGTGTGCAATCAGGATTTCTTGTGACCAGCACAGATATACAGCACAGCATTCGCACCACCATAACTACTGGAAGGCAGATTCTGTTTGGGTTCCCTAGCAATGGGGTGTGTCATCAGTTGGTTGGATGCTGCTTCATATGTGAACACTTCAAGTGCAATGACTGTATTGCTGGCACACAGGTTCGTGAGCCATCAGCTCAAGTTGAGCACGAGGCCAGCACCTCCAAGATTGGTGAGGACCAGCTCTTCTACTTTCAGCAGCGTGGAATTGGCATGGAGGATGCAGTGGGCATGATCATCAGTGGGTTTTGCAAAGAGGTGTTCAACGAACTGCCATTGGAATTTGCTGCTGAAGTCAACCAGTTGATGAGCCTCAAGCTGGAAGGATCTGTGGGATAGATTGAAAATCTGCGTTGCTGTTTTTGCCAGAGCTAGTTGGACATATGTCCAGGGGGTAGGCCTGCTGTTGTGACTGTGTTGCTCTTGCATTGTTCATTGTTATACCTCTGGCTTGTGTTGAGGGGCTCTGCTTGTGCAGACTTGTGTACGTACGCATGCTGTCTCCAATTTCTTGGCAACTTCCAATCGAGTATCATGGAAGGTTGCTTGGAGCCATGGGAGAAAAAGTCGCTTTTCAGCGCATGCGGCAAGTTGCGGTGGGGATTGGGTGAGATTGAGACACATTGCATGCTGGTATTGGATGAATGCTGCCCACAGCTGAGAGCTGGTAGAACTCATTCGTTTGTTTCTGCCCTAGACATAGTATGGAGGAAGCCAAGAGCAGGAGCGGAGAATCTTGTCTGCATTGTAACTGTATTTTATGTTTTGTTGGTGTTAATGACATCGAATCATTACAAAGACAACGAATCAAACACTAAGGGATGGCGGGCTGAAAAGTAATATCCCGGAAGTGTTCACCAACTGAGTGGGCTGTACGCAATGCGCGTGGTGCTCGCAACACTCACAACCTGGATATCCGTTTCCTTACATACGAAGCAACGAGCTCAGCACTCTCGCTCTTCCTCCACAGCAGCGGCTACCACCGTTGCATCCAGGCCGAGTCTGGAAATGGTCCAGGCCGTACGTGCGCTTCGCAACCTCCACTGTGTCAGACAGTGGGATCGCCACCCTTTCGCCGCAGCCCAACTGCACAGCACAGTCGTCAAGCTAATCCACCTCCACAGTCCCCTTACGGGGAGAGGCAAGCAGGTGAACACACACGCAGTTTTTGCCTGCCCATTCTCCCCACCCGCCGGCATGTTCACGCATGGCGAAGACACCAGTGCGTTCCAACGCAATCAGTGTCCATCGCCATATTCGAACCAGGGCTGCCGCAACAATGCGAGCTCCGCTGGTGGTTCAGCCAGCACAAGACCATGACTGACCCTGAGCCAAGCTCAGGCCCGGTACTCAACTCCCTCACCATCCCATCTCGCAAAAGTGCAGAAAGAAAAAGAGCAAAAGGGGAAAGGAGGCGTCTCCAGACTTCCCAGCCTGAAAAAGCGTGCAATCCGCGTCCAGCCTCGTCAGCACAGCGCGGCATCGGTCGCCTTCCGAGGCGCGTTGCCCGCCAATCATCGGGGCGCATTGCGTCCAGGAACGGGCCGCACCCAGAAAAGCCCCGTCGCGCCCCCTCCCGTTCGCCATTCCCACCACCACCGGCCCCCCACTCCCCGTTGACGACACCCAACCGGCCGGGCGCCCTTTGGACCAGTCCACCGCGCCCACGGGAGGCGGCCATGTTCAAGAGCACCTTCCAGTCGGGCTTCCTGTCAATACTGTACAGCATAGGCAGCAAGCCGCTGCAAATATGGGACAAGAAAGGTGCGACAGCGACCGCCTTGGGCGGGCGGAAAGGGGGGCGGGGACCTCGTGCGTCGACCTGAGAGGCGGGGGAGACCGTCCACGGTGGTTGGAGCCAGTCGTTGCGCAACGGAACTGACCCGTCGGAAAATTTGGGCCCCCTGACGTCCGCGTCCACGCGGCGGGGAGGCATCGCCATTTCTGTAAGAAGCTGGGAAATATGCGGCCGGTTGATTCGAGTAGGGGAATGCGACGTGCCGATGGGAGGGGCCGTTGCGCCGTCGGCCGTTTGGGCTGGGTTTGGCAGGGCTTCTGGTTTCTGGTTGTTACTTTGCGCTCGGCCTTGCCGTCCCTTCGCCCGGGGGCGTCTGATGTGGACCGGGCTCGTGGCAGCGCAACGCCCCGCTCTAACTGCAACCCATGGCGGCGCGCCTGCTCTCGCCACAGCTGTGTCTGGGTTTTCTCTGTGCTGGGGCGGTTGAACAATGGGGGCGTTTGTCGCCGAAAAGCAGCAGCAGTGTCAAGTACTGGGAATGAGCAAGGCGTCCGCAGCCTGATGTTGGAGTCAAGGGCGAGAAAAGGGCGGAGAACAGCTGTCAACGGGGGCTGCATAGCACATCTTGCTGTTTCTGGTCGGCACCATACCGGGGAGCAAATCGTCCCAAACCCCTACAGGTTGCTGGGGAGGAGGCCACCTGCCTGCTGTTCAACTGGCATCCCTCCACTACTGTACAATGGAAACTGGTGCATGTCATCTATGCTGTGTTTGAGTCAAGGTGGCGGGCCTCTGTGCTCACCAGCTTGCAACATCAACCTGCCCGCTCCTTGGAACACATTGTGTTGGGAGTTGTGGGACCTGCATCTGCAGTTGCAAAATCCTCGACAGGCTTTTATCACTACAGCGCCCTTCACACTTGGTGGCGACTTCCCAAACAACATGACCATATCTTTTAAGTCTTGGGAGGCGAATGCAGTGGTTCATGCAGTGCTAAGGCCCTCCTGTAAGAATCTCTTGTTGTGACAGTGGCTGGCATGCCTTGTGGTGCATGTCAATGGACACTGAAGGCACGTTGGGTGGATTGCGCCACAAGCACTTCTGGTTCATTCAGCATGTTTCGATTTACACGAGGTGTATTGGCTTGCAGTTCAAAATGGTCACATCAAGAGGATCACCGATGAGGACATCCAGAGCTCAGTGCTGGAGATCATGAGCACAAATGTCAGCACAACATACATCACGTGCCCGGCAGACCCCACTCGGACACTTGGCATTAAGCTACCTTTCCTGGTTATGATCATCAAGAACCTCAAGAAATACTTCAGCTTCGAGGTACAGGTGCTCGATGATAAGAATGTGCGCAGGAGGTTCAGAGCATCAAATTATCAGGTAATGCAACACAATGGACTTTTGCTGGTTTCCTCCACTTGTTATGTGGTGCGAAAGCTCTTTTCCACACCATACAGCTCACTGTGCAATGGGTTTCTCCTCCCCACAAACAACTTCTGTTCTGCACAGTCAACCACGCGCGTGAAGCCCTTCATATGCACAATGCCAATGCGACTGGACGAGGGATGGAACCAGATCCAGTTCAACCTTTCGGATTTCACAAGGCGAGCATACGGTAAGTCTCGACACAAGGAATCCAGCTGTTGCATTGTAAACTGCAGCACCCATCTGGTCACTTGCCTTGCCACAGATCCGTTGCCCTGCGCGTCGGTAACCAGTATAGATGCAATCTTCTGCAGTCCTTGCCAACAACGTTGCACCGCACACAATCAAGTGTCCAGTGCAGTCCATAGTGAGAGCGTAAATATGTACAGTCCTTGGGGATATAATTGCATGCTGTACCATTGGGACTGATATGGGCCTGTGCTCCCTTCGGGTGCTGCTCAAGCGTCTGAGGCTGTGCTCTGTTCCACAGGAACAAATTACATCGAGACCCTTCGAGTCCAGATCCATGCGAACTGCCGCATTCGCCGCATTTACTTCTCAGATAGACTGTATTCTGAAGAGGAGCTGCCGCCCGAGTTCAAATTGTTCTTACCAATTCAAAAGTCATGAGGGGCAGCGGCCACTGGTGTACCCACCACGGCAGCGTGGCGCAGTCTGCGGATTTGAGCAGGCAAACTCCAAGGAGCCGATTCGACAGCAAACACAACTTTGGACAGCGGCGCTGGAAACATATACCAGATGTTTCTGGAACTATTGTGCTTTTGTACTCATTTGATGTCGACGATTTAATGCAACACAGTCACCACGTACAACTGACCCACAATTGCGCTGTAGGGGGGCGGGTGGTGGTGGTGGTTAAAAAACACCCATGTGAGATCCCCAACGCGATGGTATGTGGCCCAATGGCTGCGCACATGGAGTATTTTCGGCTAGCTATTCCCTTTGAAGACTTCCTGATGGGCACCACATATCATTTCATCTCCATTTCAGCAGAGGATATGCACATCAGCATATTTATCTGCTTGCCAACCACATGTGTTGGGAAAGAAGCCAAGGATTCCAGGCGTGCTGTCGAGCACAAACCGTAACCCACGTTGAAGGGCAGCATCTGGATTCGGTGACAGTATGCAAATTGCCAGAGCTTCCTATTTACAAACACCCATGTCCAAGACACCTATATGTTTGCGGCAATGACAATATTCGGATCCAACTAGCAAACCTGCTACATTGTGAGATGGAACCGCAAAATGCGTGGAGAGGCCATGCTTCGACTACTACCCATTATGTCCCTGTGCCTCCCTGAAGATCAATTTCGCCAGGCTCAGGGGCGAGGTCGCAGTTGTCGAATCTCCGTTCATCAAAGAAACCGGCACGCACCACGCGGCCTCCAAAGTACCTTCCCTGGAGGGCCACGACGGCCTTCGTGGATTCTTCTGGCCGCTCAAACTGCACAAAGATCCTGACGGCCTCATGGGGTGGAAACCCGGGCTCAGTCACCTCAAAGATGAGCACTTTCTCTACGACACCAAACCTCTGAAGCTCATGAGCAACCTCGTCCTCCAACTCGTTGTCCACTTCTCCAGGGCCAATCTGCCGCAACAAAGGACAAACATTACACACTTGCCTGAACCTGCAGACACCGAACAACAGGTGCATTGTATGTTGCATGGATGGCACAGACCCCTTTGCTTCAAGGACCAAGGGGCTGAAAAGCGGCTGTTTAGGATCATCGCCACAAACATCTGAATGCACATCCTTGGCACAGCATACTGGCAGAAAAACAGCAGCAGGGACCTGCCCTGGTAAAATTGACAGCACCATCCCAAACTTACCGGTTTCGTCACTACCTTACTGACCAATCGCACCGATTTGCGTGCACAATGGCTGAATTCGAAAGGGATTGATGTGTCAAATCTGTGCAATCTGGTATGGACACATTGCAGCCGAGTGGAAGCTTTTCAGAGCTCAGTCAGTGACAGCGTTCGAGCAAAGGAGGTGAACGAGGAATAGTCTATTACTCTGATTTCCGGCTTGCAGACATTTTCTCTTGCTTTCGTGGGGGAGTGTCGAGGGGTTCAGTGGCAGCTGTGGCCGCCATTGGAGGCGTGTTTTCGGTTACATAAGTGGGCCCCGATGTGGCCCTCGCACGCTGGATGGCACGCTACATTTATCGTTGCCATAATGTCATGTCGATGCATTCATGTAAGGAACAAACAAAACACAAACAATTGCTGAGATTGGCGGAGAATGCCACCCACTTTGCAAGAAATAGTTCAAATGCATGCACTTCCTTCTAGTCCCCAGCAACAGTGTTGTAGCACAATTGTTGCACTACAAGTACGACTTTTGGCAACGAACTCCCCATACGGTGCAAGAAATAGTTCAAATGCATGCACTTCCTTCTAGTCCCCAGCAACAGTGTTGTAGCACAATTGTTGCACTACAAATACGACTTTTGGCAACGAACTCCCCATACGGTGCAAGAAATAGTTCAAATGCATGCACTTTCTTCTAGTCCCCAGCAACAGTGTTGTAGCACAATTGTTGCACTACAAGTACGACTTTTGGCAACGAACTCCCCATACGGTACAAACAACAGGGGTGCTCATACATTTCCATCACGTGAAGGCTGGAACATGTTGCAGGAAGGCCATTCAGCAAGGCTGTTAGAGCATCAGTATAGTTATTGCAATATGACGACGAGGAGCACTGTGTGATCCCTTACCATATTCCTCAGCAGCACAACCTTGGTGGGTTGACCTTCAAATGCAGCCCCCTGTCATATTGGTACCACAAACATGCCATTTATGAGCACAGCAGACAGCAGCTGCAAAATCCAAATCCAGACTGACAACTTGTCCAAACGCACAATGGCAACACAGCACACAGGCACTTCTTGTATGCTTTTGGCAGGCAAAAAGACATGCAATATAAGTGCAAGGATTGAACTACAGAAAGAGACTCTTACTGCAACATCCACTGGCGAGGTAGAGATCAACAAAGGAAGCTATCCTGCACAACTAGCATGAACTCCCAGTGCAACGCCATGCACACATTCCCTCATACCAGCCGAGGCTTTTTCTCTGGGGGTGGCATATCTGCACTTTTCTTCTGCTCAGCATTCACAATCACCCCACTTCGCTTGTCAGTCTTTTGAGCAATGAGTGGCGTGGCCATTCCCTGTCTCATCTTCCCTAAGCCCTCCCCCTCCTTCCAACCCATCTTTTCCAGCATTCTCTGGGCAAGTGACATGCCCTTGTCCCTGTTGGAACCTTGGGCATTGGGATCATCGTGCCCGCTGGGTGAGGGCGAACGTGAGGACCCACGGCTTGTGCTGTGACCCCTGCCTGTATGCCACAGCCAACCCCTTCAAAACTAAGTACAATAGGCAACCACATCTCTTGTAATAGACACAAGTTTATCTTCGATTTCAACTTGCTTTATTTTCGTCAACCACTGCCTGTATGTGTTTGAGAAGACAAGCATATGAAACGAATAGACAAGGGACACAGAACAGCATTAACTACATTGGATGCATACAGCCCATCGTCCCCTGCAAGCTGCAAAGGCCCTGTTTTGTCTTTTAGCAAAGGAATTCATCCACTTCGTGTCACAACTTGGATGCTGGCAGAGATGTGCTACCCAACTACCCCAGCAGATATGGTGGATCTGGATGGCAGACTTATCCAACCAAATACAGCTTCCTACTTGTCCATGCATGGCTTTGTCAGGTGTCCAGCTGCTAAATATCCAGACTGGCAGGGTTTGATTGCAGAAAGATTGTTGATCTACGTCCCACATACAAATTGGGCACAAGGATTCCTTTTGCACGGTTTTAAATTGGTGGAGACAATTACTGTGGACTTGTTGATACGCCACAATAGCAGAAAACACCCTTTAAAGTTGCGAAGTTTCAATGCAATGCGGTAATTGTCTTCCATTGTTGAAGCAATCAAGTGAGGAGATCGTGCAACATGCGCAGCCACTGGCAGAGCAATTCATGGCGACTGCCGATCTGCTGTTCTCCTGGCCAAGCCCTGCCATTCAACAGCAAACCTGCAGTGCATGACTACAATAGCAATTCTGCAGGTTTTGACAGAGTCGAGCGCAGATTTCTCCAGCAAAGTGGCTTTCGCATTTCACAACAAGTGTGAAATTCAATTCACTGCACTATGCCATCCCCCTAAGTGCAAATTTTTCGTTGGGTAGCAGTTCATGGTATGTGTACTGTATGCCACAATGACCTCCATCCTTTCCTGCCCTGTTTACAAACATAAGCAACGCTCTGTAGCACAAAGTCCCACATACCATGCCGCCCCCTGTGCTCTCCTCGGTCATCTTCATCACTGGAAGCGCCCACTTCATGATGCCTGTCACGATGTCTATCTCCATGCATTACTCTTCCTCGTTCCCAGCCTCTGGTCCTGTCCCTATCCGAATCTCTTTCCCGGTGTCTATCTCTGTCCCTCTCTCTTTGCAGCTCTCGCTCCTGAAATTCAGAAGGCAAACACCGCCTCAATTGTGGGCACCCTCTTTCACAGCGCTGGGTACTGTACACTGCGGAGAGTTGTGCTCTCGAGCTGGGCATTGCCATTGCAACGCCCCATATGTGGCTGAGGGGAATGCAAGCAAGAAATACTGAGAAGTAACACATGTGTGGAAGGAGGTGTGCACACGTTGATGCTGAAATGGGATGCCCTATTGCCCCAATCCAGGCAAATCATTCACACAGCTTCACTGAGCCGGTTTAGAGTGGAAAAGACAGCGGAAGAAGTGCAACTGACACCACACGAGGAGCACTCTTCACGATATTCCCATCGTTATGTTCCATGCCAACCAATACACAACGAACCGCCAGACAAAAGCGCCGCTACACGCCCCATCCGCAGCGAGCGACTCGGCCCGCGCCGCGAACCGCCACCGGCCTGCATCTCCTTCTCGACCCGCAGCCGCTCCTGCCTGTCCGCCTCCATCTCCGTTTCCCGCTTCCTGCGCTCCTTCTCCTGCACCACGGCCTCGTACTCGTTCGGCCTCGCGGGGTCGTACTCGTCGACGACCTGGCCGAAAAGGCCAAAGAGACTCGACGGCGCATCACCGGGCTCCTCATCAGGGCCCCCGGGCGCTGGCGCACCCGCGCGGCTCTGCGGCCTGGGCGCGGGTGGCGGCGCGGGGGGTTTCTGCTTTCGGAGCACCGAGGGGGGTGGGGCGAGAGTGGTTCGGAATCCTCCGCCCCGCAGTCGGTTGGCCGACCAGGGGGTCGGGTCGGCCGACGACGACTGCCTGGCCTGTGGCAGGTCCCCGTACAGGCTCATGGGCCCCCGGCCGCGCACGACCCGGCGGAAGAGCGCGGCGCGAGGGGCTGGAGGGAGGTGTGGTGAGGCCAAAACACGCAGCCGCGGGGGCGCCCGGTGGGCCGCGACTTGAGCTGAAACAAAACCTAAAACAAACCTAAACAAAACAAAACAAAATTAAAAACCAAAAATACACAAAATAACTAAAACAACCTTCGAAACTAAGAAAACAAAAAGACCTAAAACGCAAAACGTGAAACCTGAAAAACCGCGAAACGAAAATCGTGAAACGAACCTGGGGCCAGCTACGGTCACCGACACCGCCATGTTTGCCCCAGCGGACAGTATCCGCCGTATTGGATGTGACACCTGAACTTGAGCCCAAAAGTCATGATCGGCCTGACATTTGGCAACTGACATTTTGACGACCATCTCGCAGTTCCTTGCAACGATGTCGTGATTTTTATTGTCGATTGATTGATTGAAGATTGCAAGGATGATTCATCGTGACCGTCCTCCGCGACTCACGGGCTCATTTCGCAATGGGGGTCCTTGGTTGCTTGGGGTTTGACACAGCCGTGTACGTCCTCGAGGCGTGCGAGGATCGTTCAGGTTGTCCCTTGTCCCTTGTCACGTCACTCAACACTGCTTGTCTACTGGGATCAATCTTTCCAACAAGCGACACCCGTCTGGCGAGGTGCGGTGGCCCGCCTCGCGAGGACGGAACTCCACCAGGGCCAGGGGGGCCACAGCGAAAGCGCGTCGCCCCCATGCAAGGCCCAGCGCTTCTTCCGGGTGCAAGCGCTGAACGCCTGGCGCTCGGGGGGAGCGGTGGATCGAAGAAAACAATCGGCAGTGCCAGCCCCTGCCCGTGATCGACAGGGCTCACTCGCGGTGGAGCACTTCCCGAGAGGCCTGCCTGAGAGGTCTGTCAGGCGAGGCTTGTCCAGGTGTGTCTGCCCGGCGACAGGCCTTTACGAGGCGCGTGGTTCCGACTTGGATTCCGATTCTCTGTGCCGGGGATCGCGTGCCGGGACGCCGAAAAACAAGAGGGGCCGATCAAGCCCTCGGTCCTCCAGCCCTGTCGCCAAGCTTCTCAAGCGAGTGCAGGGAACGAGGCGTTCGGAACTCGCACTGGGTCCGTTCCTTGGAGTGGGACGCTTCTGAGCCCCCACAGCGCTCCAGGCTGACGCGAAGGACGCTCAAAGCGGTCATTGAACGTCAGCCAGTGGGGCAACACCGCGCATTGACAACGTCGCGCAGACGTCTATCGCTCGATGGACAGACAGATGCGGCACCATCCGAAAGGCACGGCGCTTGGCGCGTGGGGATGGGTTGGCTGCGGTGCGTGCCTTTCGGCTGTGCTCGGCCGAGCGACTGGGCCCACAGAGCCGCTGGCTTGAGAGGGCGCTGAGCCTGGACTCTCGTGTTGCCTGCCGGTCATCAGCGATTTTGATGGGTGCATGTTTGGCTTACGTCTTCCTTGAACCCAGGACCCCGGCATAAAATTACTGGCTGCACCAAATCGGT